AAAGGCTTGCTCTTTGCTTACATAGGTCTACATAGAGGGAGAGGGAGGGAGGGAGACAGAGAGAGAGAGAGAGATAGAGAGAGAGAGGGGGGAAGAGACGATGGGGATGTAGGAATGATAGGGAGAATCAGACCCATTAACAGAGTATGTGATATACTGATAGGCAGAGACACAGACAGAAATAGAAATAAATATAACAATAAAAACATAAATTGGAGCAGAGCACAGAGAATACCAAAAAGCTAAAATGGCAACGAACATTTTTGAAGAGGAAACCATGTACTTTATAACGATACTACACTTTGTATTCATGTCTGGTGACGCCAACGAGTCTACAGGAGAGTAGACCCGACTGAATAAGGCTGCGTGCGGCCTTCAAAAAGGCCAATTAACTTGTCAATTTGAATCACATTCAGTCAACAGTGAGGTGTTTTTCACTCTTTGAATTCTTGCATTCTGGTCAATTGACAATGTTTGGAGATGCGCTGTTTTGGGGGCAAAAGAAATATAGGTTCATTATTCATACCGATTTTTCAATTTTTGTTATCTATACTGAAAGCTTGAAAAAAGAAGGCTACAACATAATTGCTAAGAAAATTCGTGTTTCTCATTTGTGTATAATGGTTCGACGTGTGCCTGAACATTGCTTTGGTCTGCTGCTGATCGGACGTATTATGTGTCCGGACGCTTTGAAAGAGATAAGCTCTAGAGGATTTATTATTGACTCCCCAACTTTTTTCCACTGGGCTCATTGTTCTGTTTTGTCTGAGTATGAGATGATTTCTGTGTTTATTGAAGACAACATAACGTTCTGTAAGGAGACTTCTACCTCTCTAACTGTGTACGCCAAAGAGCTGTTGGAAAATATGTTTTGCCTTTTTAGGAAGGTATTGAAAAACGATAAGTGCAAAGGTGATTTGTTTTTTTAATTGGTTAAACAGTACCTTTGTAAACACCGATCACACATTCTCTTGGAGCTGTTAAGAGTATGGACTTTGTTTTCATAAGGAAGCATATAGACACATACGTGGTCCTATAATGCTACAAAATTAATATAAAGATGCATCGAAGAAATATACGACAGGGATGAAGTTGGACTTTCAAAAACAAGTGCAACAGGGCATGCACCGTGGGAACTGCGAATCGTGTTTCAAAAAGAAGTCTCAATATAGGAGTCAACAGTTATACAATATAACCAGTATTTTTCAAATAAGACTTTTTGTAATATATAGCTCACTTTCTTACGACAGGGATGAAGAAATCGCTATCACCATACCTTCGTCTTATAGATATTCACTGCACTGTATCGAAGACCTTTGAACAATAATATGTTTTTGTGTTCTTATGTATTTATAAAATCCTGGTATGATTAATGATGGTCTAGGACACTGCCCTAACTGATAAAGTGACAGTTTGAACCCTTGACACTTTGATTACTGTTACTGTTACCTGACATACGGGATTCTTTATTTGTGTGCCTTAATTTGCGCTAGCGTTGTACGTTCAGCGTGTGCAAGTGTTATGTAAATGATTTTGTCAAATATCAATATATTTATTTGTGTGTCTTCATATGTTTGTGTGAGTGTATGGTGTCTGTATTTGATCGGGGACAAAGGATAAGAAAGCCGGGGTGGAGGAAGGGTCGTGGTGTGTGTGGAAAGGGGGGGGGGGGGATTTCACGTTGTTGATGAAAATAAACTGTTTTTACAAACACAGTGCCTTTTCTCCCATCTTCTTGCGTCCTCTTTCTCCATCTTACTGCTCGGCAGTCACCGTAATAGCATGATCATCATATTCACAAATAGATGAAAAACACCATAATTCTCTCAATCGTTATCACTTTATTACCACAGTTATCAATGTCTTATTTTGTTCTTTGGCAGTGCCGCTGTGTTCGCACTACTTTTTGCAGTCACCAAGCATTTTGAACTTGTTTTAAAAGTATGTTATCTTTACTTTGCCAAAGTTCAACTAAAACCAAGACACTCTGGAAACCTACCGTTGCTTGGTCTGCTTCCGAGATTTACAATGGCTTCTTTCTAAATTGACCATCGTTGTCTGTGCATGTTCCTCCAGTGAACATCGTTTGGCATAAGTGTCTCTTTATCAAAACATAATGTGAAGAAAAGACAAAACATACTACATCTAACTCTAAAAGGTCATTTCACTCTGAAGCATAACAGTTTATTCAGTACTGTTTTACAAGATTGATCACCCGCTCAATAAAAAAATATCACTGTATATTTGTGAACACATCAAAAAAGATATTACATAAACGAACAGATCAACAAAGAGTCAACTTTATGGCAAAAACTTGACAATGCATAATTGGCCAAATCATTTTATAAAAACAACTCAATAATAATGGGGGAAATGATAAAGAAAAGCTGGGGAAAAGAATGCGTGTTTGTCATGGAAGTCGTCGGCAACGATATCTTGAATCTGACGACTTCTATATTCGAAATTGGTGACTGTTTGTGCTTGCATTTATCAAAACATATCATTATGAAGGAAACAACCAAATTGTTTAAGATACATAAAACACTGAAAGTGTATTTTACTTCGAAACAAAATAGTTTGATCACAACATTTTCCAAAAGAAAACTCATACGTCAATGAAAGTGAAAGCAGTTGATTGTTTGTTAACCTTAACAACTCCAAATAGATAAATGAGCAAATGAATAAATAGATAAATGAATGCATG